AGATAATAAATGTTTGTTATGACATTAAGCTTTCGGGTAATTGTTACACAACAATAGGTAACTAATGTAGGGCATGATGTAAAGCCCGAGGCGGAGCTCAGGTGCAGGACGGAGCTCCTGAAGCAGTGGGGGAGGGTGCAGCGGGGGAGGGAGGCTCCGGAGGAGCCGACAGGGGCTGAGTGCTGCAGGTGGTGTGGAGTTGGCCAGGTCAGGAAGGCACGGGAGAGAGAGCAGAAAACTTCTGTGGCTTCTGAAAACTCCAAATACTTCTATATGGATGGGGCTCAGAGGCTGCGAGGAAGGGACAGGGGAAGTGAGAGGGTGCCCAGTTGGCTTTAGGTCCTAGGTTGCAAAGTTTGATCTTTATATTGCTGCCAGGCGGGAGTCTTTGGAGACTTCTAAGCAGAAGAATGACAAGTGTTAAGTTCTCCTGTTAAAAAGATCACCCAGCCTGGCTGGTGTGGCTCAGTGACTGAGCGTCTTCCCATGGATGGAGAGGTCCCAGTTCGATTCCCAGCCAGGGCACATGCCCAGGTTGCAGGTTCGACCCCCAGTAGGGAGCGTGCAGAAAGCAGCTGGCCTATGTTTTTCTCTCACATCAATGTTTCTAGTTCTCTCTCCCTTCCTCTCTCTCTAAAAAATCAATAAAAACATATTTAAAAACAAAAAGATCACTCAGACCGGTGCAGCTGAAGGAAGCAGGCCACGCTGAAGGGGGCCCCCAGCTGGAGGCTGCGGGAACAACCCACAAAATGGAAAGAGAACAGTTTCCCTGCTTCCAGAGAAGCCGTGTCAGAGGGTAAGGGACTGGTCCAAAGTCACCAGGCAAAGAGGGTCAGAGGCCAAAAACACAGTATAGAAGCCGAACAAGGTCCTCCACCTGGGCAGTCTCCTCTGTCTCTAGGCTTCTTGACTGTAAGTGGCTGGCTGGGGCCAGAAGCCAGCTAAGTCATGAGTGGCTTAGAGTCCCTATATTTCTGTAGGGGGAAGGATGAGAATTCATAAGCTGGGATGGCAACCCTCGGCTGGGCTTGAGGCACAGAATGTCACAACTGGAGGAGCCCTTTTAAAAAACCTGTACTACTCCCTAACAGTAATGATGAGGAAAAGGTCTTGCCCAAGACCCTACAACCCCAAGTATCAGCAGATCTGGTACTTACTATGGATTGAATTATGTCCCTTCAAATGGTATTAAAGTCTTAACACCTGGTACCTCTGAATGTGATCTTATCTGGCAATAGGGTCTTTGCAGAAAAACCAGATTAAGATGAAGTCATACTGGATTGGGGTGGCCCCAGTGACACTAATTTGACTGGTGTCCTTATACAAGGAGGAAAATTTGCACACTGAAAGACACACAGGGAGAAGATGGCCATGTGACGATGAAGGCAGAGATTGGAGAGATGCATCCACAAGCCAAGGAACACCAAGGATTGCCTGCATGAGACAATAGAAAATATATATACTGCCCGGCCAGTGTGGCTCAGTGACTGAGTGACGACCCAGGCACCAAGAGGTTGCCAATTCAATTCCCGGTCAGGGCACATGCCCAGGTTATGGGCCCGATTCCCAGTGGGGGCATACAGGAGGCAGACAATCGATGTTCTCTCTCATCCATGTTTCTAACTCTCTCCCTCTCCCTTCCTCTCTCTCTAAAATCAGTAAACAAACAAATTATTTAAAAAAAGAAAGTACGTACACTGGTCTCTGCCCCTGGTTCCTGGTACAGAGAGCCTGAAGCCCTTGTAAGTTCCCAGGTGACACCAGTGTCTTCTGCTCTAACGAGGCAGCTCTGGGTGGGCTCCTGCGTGGGGCTGGTCACTGGAGAGACCAGGCCGTGATGAGAAGCTCAGCATTTCCAGCCTGGAGCTCCCATTCCCTTGAGAAAGGGGAAGGGCTGAAAATGGAGTTGATGATCGATCGTGCCTATGTGATGAAGCCGCCATAAATCCCCAAAAGTACGGGGTTCAGAGAGCTTCCGGTTGATGAGCACGGGGAGAGTGGTGTGCTCAGAGAGGAGCTCCACCCCCTCCCACCTACCCTGCCCTGGCATCTCCTCCATCTGGCTGTTTATCTGTATCCTTTATCACATTCTTTAATAAACTGGTAAACATAAGTTAGTGTTTCTCTGAGTTCAGTGAACCCCTCCAGCAAATCAATCAAATCTAAGAAGGGAGACATTGGAACCTCCCACAGAGAGCTGTTTGATCAGAAGCAGAGGTGATAACCCAGGCTTGTGACGAGCAGCCGAAGTGTGTGCGTGTTGGGGGTTGGGGCAGTTGTGGGGACCGAGCCCCGAACCTGTGGCATCTGACACTATCTCTGGGTAGACAGTGGCAGAACGGAGTTAAATTGTAGGACACCGAGCTGGTGTTGCAGAGAATTGTTGGTGGGAGAAACCCACACTCATTTATTTGGTGACCAGACATGCCGGGAGTGGAGTGTTCTGTGCAAAAGGGAAGGAGACTCACAGGATGAGCACACAGTGGGGAAGAACTAGGTTGTTCCCTTCGTAGGAGGAAGGAACCTGGGTTTTTCCTTTACCACCTGCAAATACCAGAAGCCAAAGAGGCAGGGAGGAATTCTCCCCTCCAGGGTTCAGGAGGAGCAGGCCCTGCCAACCCCTTGGTTTCACACTTCCAGCCTCCAAAACTCCTTCCAGACTTTTCTCTTCGATGCATAGTTTTCCTTACTTGCACCTTTTATATTTTTACTCTTTAAGTTATAAGATTAGGAACATTTTAAACATCTGCATAATTTACTTATCATTTGTCTATTTGGGGGGATATATAGGTAGTTTCCAATTGTTCACTAAATAACACTTTGTTCTTCAACCCTTTATGGTGTTTCCTTAAGAGAGAGCCCCACTAGTGAAATTTCTGGGCCAACGCGTGTTGGCCTTTCCATGCCATTTTCTAAGCCTGCTGGTCAAGGGCTCACGGGACAGCAGCCCCGAAGCGCTTCCACCTCCTCTGACAGGAAAAGCATCCTCCCCACGCTGCTCCTGACCCCCCCGCCCCCTTAAAGCCAGGCCTGGTGAGCACTCTGCTTCTTGCCTGGAGCTTTGCTTCTTTTTTGTCTGGGCAGGATTAGGAGCCAAATCCTTCATGCCCCTGCCTGCCCCTGCTTCACCCTCGGGAGGGATGACTGTTCTGTACGTTGGGCTTCCACCTACAGCCCTTCCCCACCTCTGAACTGCCATTTCTCACAAAGCTCTGGAATCCCACAGGCCACCCCAAACTTCTCCAGTGGACACAGGGGCTGCCAGGAAAGGGGCTACGAGGGAGAGAAAAAACTGAGATTGATCAATAGGTGACAACCCTTAGCTTGCAGGAGAGGGTGTGGCTTCTGCTTGCCTCTGGGTCGGGCTCCAAACTCTGTCTTTGGTTTGGCTGGAATGATCTTTATGTATTTCAGCCAAGCCCCCCGTTGTGGATTTTTTGGGTCAGACCTGTTGACTGTCCTCGCTTCTCTGCACCCTGGACTCTGCAAGCTCTGCATGCAGGACTGGCAGTCTGTCCAGAAGAGAACTCACGTCCTTCCTTCCCTCTCATTGTCCCCTGACTGTGTGGTGGCAGGTGTGGGGAATCGTGTAAATTAACCCCTGGGAACAGGGGGAGACCCACAAAGGCTCATCTGAGGGGGCATGTCCTCCACAGGCCCCTACTGGGACCCAAGCATCACGACAATCAACAATGCCCCCTGCCCAACTCAACACCTTCCCTCAAACTTCAGAAGTTGCAGAAAAGTGGGAGACCACAGAAGTTACCCCATAGGTTGTCTCTCTGAGGTGCCTCTGCCTCCACGAACCATAAGGGACCAGCCTATGACTTTAATCACAGTGGCATGAAGTGGGTGTGGAATTTTGTACCTGCTTATATCCAGGCTGACCCTTGACCCGGCCTCAGCCGCCCAGCACTCCTCTGCTTACGGTTTTGAGCAAACACACGCACCCTCCTATATCAAACAAGGTGTGATACAACATGCGACCTGAGACTTCAGGGCTGATCTAGCCCCCGAGGAGCCGATGGAAGGGCGAGCACAGGCATCGGTCTTCATCCAGCCCCCTCCCAACGCTGTAAACTCAGCTGAAGGGCCAACAGGCTCCTCCTCAGGTCTATGCTCTGCTACTATGTTAGCATAAATGCAGTGTTAAAATAATTTTAAAACCTCAAACTTCCTCTTGTACCTGCAATTTGGTTCATTTTCTACCTTGATGCCATGTGTCCCGTGTTTGTCTGGACTCCGGCTTGCGGTGGGAAAGGCACGTGGGGTGATGGGGAAGCACTGGGGACGGAGGTCTAGTCCTATCTGTTATTAGCCCCAGGGCTCTGGGCCAGTGATTTCATCCTTCTGACCCTCCGTTTCCTCATCTGTGATAGAGTGATAGCAACACCCACCCTGCCGCCGGCAGGAGGAGGTTTGGAGTAGACCTGAGCGGTTTGATCCTGCCCCATCACCTAGCACCCAGATCCTGAGCAAGTTACCTCCCTCTGTGAGCTCTGTTTTCCCTGGGACAGAGGGGGATCCTGTGGTCCTACCACCTGTGGGGCGCTGGGAGGATTGCAGGAGACAGTGTCTCCCACAACCACACACCCAGTCAGCCGCCAGCAGCTCTGGCTTCCTCCTTGCCCCTGGGTTAGTGTGGAGCGCGCTGGCGCTGCGAACTTCAGGGCATGTTTGCATCGTTTTACTCTGTCATGTTCAAATACTGTCCTCTTCATATTCTAGTAAGCTGTTGTAATTAAGATACCCACTTCGGTAGCCGCCGCCTGCCCCCATCCGCACTAATCGGGATTGTCCTGGCCTGCGCCCTGGCCCCTTGTCTATAGAAAGGTGACCTCCAACCACTGTCCACTGGCTCTCCCCGCGGACACGAGCTCTGCCCAGCCGAGCCCCAGGTGGCCCGATCCGCCCTGGGCTGGTGCTGGGACGCTGCTCCGGAGAGCAGGTGCCGCCCGCCGCCCGGGGCAAAGTGCGAGAGGCCCCAGCGCGCTCACCCGTTTGACCAGGAAACCCTCCTTGAGCACGCCGTCCTCCATGTCGCCCGCCGCCAGCCCTCCGGGTGCGCTGTCCCCGCGCCGCATGCTCCCGCCTTCGGCTCCCCGCGTGCTGCGCAGGAAGCGCCCGGACCTGCCGGGTGCCGCCTCCCTGGCTGCTGTCCAGAGCCCAGGCGCCCAGGGAGGAAGTCTGACCAGCTTGGGATCTGTGCCGTTCCCCGCCTCTCCAGGGTGTCCAGGTTAGTCCTCAGGGTGCAGAGTCTGCCGACTGGTGGTGCCTCCTGCAGCCTTACCCGCCCCGGCCCTCCACTGGGCAGGGCGCCCCGGGCTCTTAACTTCTCCGGTGTTTGCTCATCTTCCTCCTCCCGGAGCCTTACCCAGGTGCCGGCCTGGCACTCAGTACTGCCCTGAGTAATAGTCATGGAATTAAATGGAACTGAAGGATTTCCAACCCTTTTCATCTCATGGCACATGTAAACTAATTACTAAAATTCTGCGGCACACGAAAAAATAGATTACATTTTTGCTGGTCTGACCAAAAAAAGGCATGATTTTTATTAGTATACAATAATAATAATAATAATAGTAATTACACACTCCTTTTGCTCCCAAGTGACTTTTTAAAAAATCAGGTGCCACCCTGGCTCATTTGGCTCAGCGTTTAGAGCTTTGGCTTTTGGACCAAAGGGTTGTGGGTTTATTCAGGTCAAGGGCACCTACCTGGATTGCAGGTTCCATCCCCTGCCCTGGTCAGGGTCGTGCAGGAGGCAACCAATCAATGTATCTCTCTCACGTCATTTCTCTCTCTCTCTCTCCCCATCCCCTTTCCACTCTTTCTAAAATTCAGTGGAAAAATATCCTCGGGTGAGGATTAATCAAGTAAATAAAAACAAGCAAATAAATAAATAAATAATCAGGTGCCTATACTTGTATATAAGGATTTCTGGTACCAGGAATTAACCATGCAGATGCAACCTTATATGTCACGTGACCAATAACATGAAACTCTATTATATGACCTATATATATTTATGGCTCAAGACAGGACATTCACAGGGGATGGCTACTGTGTTGGCTGTTGTCATTTTTTTATTTGACAATCTAAGGGAAAAGGGATCAGTGCTCTGACTAAATAGTCAGGTATTGCATGTTTTTACAATTCTTGTGGCACACAGGTTGGAAACTGCTGGTTTAGAGTCATCCCTGAATTCATTCAAAATGGGGGTTTGAGAGTGGATGGGGTTGCACCAGGCTAGAAACTTTATCCTGGCCTCTGGTGGGGCAGAGAAAACCTCCTATTAGCAAGATCACAGGTTTAAGGAAGCAGCCAGTCTGCAGGGGCCCTCGCCACCCCCCCAAGTCCCCCCAAAGGGTTAGAGCTGAAGATTTCATCTGTAGGTGCAAAATTTAAGGGGGTGCCAAGGAACTCAGGACTCTAAATAAATAACATTTTAATGCAATATTTTTAAAAATTAAAATTAATGCAAAAATCCATGTGGAAGAAAATATCAAAATTTTAAACGACAGCTGAATCAACCATACTGGAGCCTGAAACAAAAGGAAACCTTAGTAATACTGATTCTGTCTAGTGATCCTTAGGACACAGTCATTTTATTCATTATTTGCACTGCACTCTGAAGCCGCTATTAGGATGATTCACCAGGGAAGGGAAAGGCCCAAATGCCTGAAAGGTAAGAGAAGGCTCTAGATTGGGAAAAAGTGCCCCAGGCTTTGGAAGGCCAGCTGTGCCCTTCAAAACCAGCCTGGAGCGGACAACTAAACCACTCGAGGTGGGGGTGGGGAGCTGCCCTGGAAATGGTCCACTTCGGCCTTCTGCACAGACCGTTATTCAGATCTTCCAGCAAGTCCCAAAGGAATGGCGTTTCAGACGGAACATGGGCTCAGCACCTTCTGAAGCCAGGCAACCCCATGAGGTGAGTTTATTATCCCATCCTTTCCAGCCAAGGAAACTGAAACTTGCAGCAGTTAAAGAACTTGCCCAAGGTCACCAAGTTTGAACTCCAGGGCCGTGTGAATGCATTTGCTCCTCAGTCCACGAGCAGGGAAGGGGAAGGAAGAACAATCTGAGCTCTGAAACTCGTGGGCTGAAACCCAGGACACGAGAAGTTGGAATGGGAAATTCTTATCCTGTTTGGCTCTAGCTATAGTCTGTTTTTCTCCTTCTTCCTCCCACATGCCGGGGCAGTGGGCAGTTGGCACTGAGGTTGTTTTTGCCTTTCCCAGACACAACCTTCTAAGGCTTAGAAGAGGTGGCATTTTCTTTGGCAAGAAGGGTTCCTGAATGAGTTCACAGAAATGGGAAAGGGGGAAGATTGGTTCTCTCTCCTGGCAGGAAGGAGCTAAGGCCTTTGTATACTTAGAACCTGCTGCCCACCCTAGGACGGCCCCTGTCCAGCCCACCTTAAGTCTGACTAACTGGACCCAGGGCATGAGTCATACGCCCACCTCCCCTGGCGTGGTGGCTGAACCATCAGTCCACCAGGAAACCACAGTGACATAAGCCCTACTCAACCACAGGGAAGAGGATGGAGACAGAGGAAGCCGACTGAAAGTAGTGAACAGCTGAGATTGGGGGAAGGGAGCAGGGAAGGGAAGGATGCTTAGGACCCAGGAACTTGTTTTGCTCCTCCAGGCGGACATCTCTCCTCTCCCTCTCGGGGTCAGACGCGGATGTGGAAGGGACGCTGTGTGAACTGTGGAGAGCTATAAGGCCCGTTTTAGGGTATAGGTGATTTGCAGTCTGTTAAATTCCACCATTAGAGAGCCACTCCTTTAGCCATAGACGAGAATCTTAAGATACAGTGGGGAAGGGTAAATCATGGAATCTTTTTCACAATTACCTTGACTCAGTGCATTTATCAGAATCACAGAATCAGAGTCTAACCTTTAAATCATCAAATCTAGGCCCTTCATTTATAACAATTCATTTATAGCAACACCAGGACTCGTGTGTAGGCTAAAAGTGAAAGTACTGGAAGGCTTGCTCCGGCACAGCGGGGCCTCTCCCAGCAGAAGCCTGCCCAGGAGAAGGACTGCCCAGGTGACTGTCAGGCCAAGAAGAGCTCTGTCTGCAAAATCAGGAAAGACTTGAAACAATGTTTTCTGTTTTCTCCAACCGTAAAATATAATTTGTGCTCATTATAGAAAATTTAGAAATGACAAAAAAGGATAAAACCATTCAAATCCTATCACCTAGACCAGCGATCTTTCAACCTTTTTCATCTCAAAGCACACATAAACTAATTGCTAAAATTCTGCGGCACACCAAAAAAATATGTTTTTTTGCCGATCTGCCAAAAAAAAAAAGGAGTTATTCATTCACACTGGACGGCTATTGTTGTATTAGTTGTTGCCATTTTTGTTTTTGTCGTTATTTTGTTTTGTTTTTAATCCTCACCCGATGATATTTTTCCATTTATCTTCAGATAGAGTGGGAGGGAGGGAGAGAGAGAGAAACATTGACGTCAGAGGGACACATCGACTGGTTGCCTCCCACATGACCCTAACCAGGGCTGGGAACAAACTGCAACCAAACTGCAAACGAGATATGTGCCCTTGGCCAGAATCGAACTTGCAACTCGTTGATCTGAGGGCCGAGACTCTACTGCTGAGCCAAACCGGCCAGGGCTGTTGTCATTTCTTTATATGACAATATAAGGGAAAAAGGTCTGTGCCCCTGACTAAATAGTCAGGTATTGCATGTTTTATTTTATTATTATTATTTATTTATTGTTAATCTTCACCTGAGGATACTTTTTCATTGATCTTTCTAGATAGAGTGGGAAGGAGGGAGGGAGGGAGAGGGAGAGAGCGAAAAACATCTATGTGAGAGAGACACATCAATTGGTTGCCTCCTGTACAACCCTGACTGGGGCCAGGGATTGAACCCGAAACCAAGGTATGTACCCTTGACTGGGAATCAAACCTGTGACTCCTTTGGTCCACAGGTCGATGCTCTAACCGCTGAGCCAAACTGGCCAGAGCAGATAGTGCATGTTTTAAAAGTTCTCACGGCACACTGTTTAAAAATTGCTGCCCTAGATAAATGGTGAGTATTTTTACATGCACATACCTTTTATCAAATTTTATTTTAAACTTTTGAGCCCTGCCTTTTTCACTTATAATAGCTAATAAGCATCTTATCAAATCATTAACAACTCAAAAATCTAAATTAATGGCTATATAATATTTTACCACGCCTGCATCATAATGTATTTAGTCATTTCCATTTAGGTTGCATTTCCTGTTTCACTGTGTAAATGATGCTATATCTCTGTACATAAACATTTAGTCACATCCTTGATTATTTCACATAAGCATATAGAGCATAATTTATGCTAAAGGACATAAATTTTTTAAATTCTTGATACATATCACCAAAGTGCTTCCTAGAAATGTACCGCATGATGCCTTCGCCAGATGTGAATGGTAAGTCATCTCAGGTCCAGTCTCAGGTGTCTGCACCAACACTAAGGATTATTTCTAGAAACCTTTGCTGACTTTATCAGAGTCAATGGAGACCATCCCAGTTGCATAAACTCTGTTGTGATCTCTGTCGGGTGGACCCCTCGGGACTCCCAGGAGTCAGTCAGCAGGAGGAGACTCAGAACTGACAGCTTGCTGAGGAAGAGGGGAGTAAGAGGCCCACTCACAGGAAAAAGAGGGTGTGTGGGGTCCTGGGCAGCCAGAAGAGCACTTTGAAGGCGCTTAAAAGCTTGGGCAGAGACAAAAACGGGGAGGAGAGGGAATCAGAAGTGCAGGCAGCAGGAAAACCTGGAAGAGATTTTTCCCAATTCATGGCTTTGCCCAAGGCCACCACATTGTCCTGTTACAGCCAGAAACATATCCATTCATTTGTCCAATTCATTCATTCATTCACTGGTACAGAAGACTTGCATTAGTATGTCCTGTGTACAAAACATAAACCAGTGCAGCCATGGGCAATAATACACAGCCCCAGCCCCTCACACACCAGTGTAAGCAAGGTATCATTTTGATTAACCAGGAATACAGTCATATTTTGGTATCCATTGGGGAATTGATTCTAGGACCCCATGGATACCAAACTCTGGTTTGCTGAAGTCCCTTTAGGG